AACATTAACACATTTCGGGTACAACATAGACATATAACATTTATCACACAAAAGATGAATTTCTCCAAACTACAGAGTTTTACTTATTGACAAAACATGCCGATGATTTTGAAGATTTAAGTAAACAGCGTTGGATTTCACAATATGAAGGTAACATAAAACAAGTAATATTGGAACAATTTTAATTAATCATTTTATTTATCTAAGTTATAAACTTACAAATAATTTATTTATTTAAATAGTTAAATAATAAATTTTGAAGCCTTTTTGGGAATATTAACTTCTAGAATAAAGGAAACTTTATTTTCCATATATGGAGAACAGATTTTACCACCAATAAACGCAAATTCGACCCCTACTGAAATTTATAAATAGAAAGCATTGCCTTCTGTGAAGAAATGCTTTGAAAATTTATTCAAACCTATAAATAATGATATAAAAGACTTGCATATATCTCAGATTTTAGGAAAGGTTTAGTATGACTATAGTAATGCTTCTATGCGCATGTTGCATTTGCAATTAGCATTTGCTATACTATATTAAATTCAGCAATTGAACATATTACAATTGACGAATCAACTATGGATCTAGTAAATAAATATTTGGTAAGTATTACAAAGTATTACAAGATTTAAGTAATATTATATAAAGTAATATTAATTTTTTGTTAATTTTTAGTGAAGGATTGAAGAGAAAAAAGGTTTGGAGAGTCTAGATGATGAAAATGATAGAATGTTAAAATCATCAAAAATTAAAGTATGGACTCATTTTATCTTGACCATAAAACAATTCAATATCAATACAAACAATTAAAATCATAAATCTTTAAATGAATGAATTATAATACAAAAAAAAGAGAATTATACAACACTAAACTAAAACACCAAAGTATTTTAACCAAAAGACAGTTACATTATTAAGAAAAGAAGAAGAAAAGTAAACGAGAAATAAGAATAAATAACTAATTCATTATGTTGATGTCAAATATATTAAAATTATTAAAAGTCATGAATTAAACTTGTACTTTCATTTTCATATAATATTCATAAAAAAAAAATTAAAAAAATTAAAATTTCTCATTTTAAAACATCTATAAAGTCCTTTTTAGTAATAATAACATCAAACAATTAATAAAGTATAGTAAAGATAAAAATTATGTTACACAAAAAACATGATGAGAGGGAAATATCCGTGCCGATGTATATGATGTTGGATAAACTTTTATAGGAATAGCACAATCAAATGTTTCGACATAAACATCGTCAATTGCTTGATAATATTGATGCCGTTCATCTGCATTAAGCGGCATTAGCGGCGATTGACCTTTTGGTCCAGTGATGAATTCTAATCGCAAACACCATTGAAGTTTCACTATACAAATAACATAAATAAATATAAATGGATGGTACTTGACTATTAAAATAAAACTCTATGAATTAGTAAATATTTAATTACCGCCAGTCGTTTGAAAGTCCGGTGTACTACTAGTAGGTATTGATATTGCAAAGCTAATCCGTGCCGCATTTAGACAAAATTCGTGATGTTCCCCATGAATTTTTCTCGTCATTCGAGCAATTTGTTGTTGTGAACGGTTCGCGATAGAGGACTCAACAATTTCACTACTTTCTAATGTCACAGATACCTATTAAAGACAAAGAACAAGAATTAGATAAGTATTATTTAATATTATCATCATATTATTAATCAATCAATACCTGATAACTAGGTATAACAGCGTCATGGAAATTTATAGTTCCCGTTACGATGTCTCCAAGTCGATAAGAAGTTTTTAAAAGACATAATTGCGCTACGCGTTGATTATTTTTACAAATGTCATAGTTTGCTTTTTTTTTAAAAAAAAAAAAAAATTTAAATTAAATGTAATGAATTCACTTTTTTTAAAAAATAATTTTTTTTTTTTACTAAAACAAGTTTTATTAAGATACCTTTTCGCATGTTTTTTGATAAAATTGTTGCAGTATTTGCCACCGAATTCTCCTCTTTCTCTACAAAAACATACATATCACTATCTTTATTGCTATCATTATTTACATTGCTAATCAATGATGATATCTCGGAGTTTGAACTTTGAATTAACTTTTCCAAATAATTCAAAAATCCTTCCTTCTTATTATCTACATATTATTAATTAATTAAAATATCGTTCAGTATAAAAAAAGAATAATTGAGATATCACGTAAAGTAAAATAACCTCTGTTCTTTATTGGTTGCGGCTTTGGAGTTTCTTCTTTACATGCTATTACAGCTTCGTCTTTATAAATTACAACTGGATTCATCAAGTCATATATAGGACGACTGCCATCGTCTGAAAAAAGTAACATTTATTATAAAAAAACTATTGAAATATTCAAGTTTACAAAATACATAATAATGAATGACTTTACCTGAAACATAATTAAATACTCTGAAAGGCATCTGTACGATGTTTGATTGATGATTCATCCCCCCTCTATGAGTTCCTATTATCAGATTATATAAAAATCGAATCGCTTTACCTCTATGTGACGGAGGTAAATCGTTCGGTAACCTAGTCTCATATGTGTCTATAATAAATGAATATCATGTTAACACTTAAATACCTTTGAATTGCAACAAACAAATAGAATAAGTCCGAGATATTACAAGTACGCGATTCGCCAGGTGCCAAATGTAAATCACAAAATAAAATTGAAGGAGGAGTTGAGAATACAGGTATCGATTTACTATCTGAATTAAAAAAAAGGTAGAAAAATTATTTAAATTAACCTTTTTTTTTAACTAATTATCAAGAATCAATTCCTACCTGCACGCTCTTGAAGATCAGCTAAGCTTGAATGACTCAAGGGATTAGTTGAAAAAAATCCTAAAGTTCCACCCCCAACAGCACCTCCAGCTCCACTCCCACTGGCTGGTCGATACATTGTCTTTGATTTTAAAGGTTCAAATTCAATAGATTTCATCAACGAATTATCTATTATAAAATGTCCTACTATTTGAACAAAACCCCATAATAATGTTTCATATTTCTGGCTAAGAGATGGAGCAGAACTACAACGCGATCCTGTAGATGATCTTCTACCGGGATCATACTTTTTATAATCTGTCAACAAACCACTCCAAGCATTATTTCCTATTTCAGAATATCCTCCAAGTCCATTAAAATCTACCGAACTCCTTGGAGTAGTTGATTCAGATGTATCTAAATCACTAACAGAAACATTATCAATGGCACCCGCTTGTTGCAAATTGATTAATCCAACATCATCATCTGTCTCCTCATCTGTATAATAAATAAGTTCAGAAGTTAAAACAGTCTTGTCTTTTAAAGTGTACAAAAAATATTAAATTAATGAAATTATAATAAAATAAATAAAAATCCAAAAAATAAAACAACAAATACCGTTTACACGTTCTAAATCGTGCTCCTCCGCACATCCTGGATTTGACTGTGATGAATTTGAACGTGAATGTTGAACAACTGATTGTGAAGTCGAGGAAGAATCAGAATCAACACTTCCTCCGGCTAACAATGAAAAAGTCGAAGACGCAATGGAAGTTAGCGATGCCGACCTTTTTACCAAATTCCGGAACCCAAACATTCCAGAATCACCTAAATCTCCTGCAAGACTATTCTGAATGGAAGGATTTTCAACAATCACAGATAAAGGATTCCCATTTGATACTTGTTTTGCTGTAGGTTTTTTGCCATACGATTTTGGTTCACTAATTGTTCTCACATGATTTGAATATCCATTCTTATTTGAAGACTCTTGCGATTTGTCTTCTGAGGAAAGATTATCCACAATAGAGAGCTGACAACTAAAGGTAATTTCACAACGAAAATGTTCTCCAGCAAAGAAAACTGCGTTCTGAGGAATTTTTGCAGCTACGATTACGGCAGACATTTCTTTTCGCGATCTCTTTTGATATATCTAATTAATTTTTGTAAATTGTGTTATTTTTTTGTAATATTCGTCTTGTAGAATTTAAAGCCTCCATCAGTTTTTTTCGCATTAGTTCTTCATAAATTGAAAATACTATGCTCGAAGGGTAAAAGTTACCAAATTTTTTTACACCATTTTTGAATTCTCCTCAAGCCACAGATGAGGTTTATTGATCTACATTCACAATTACTTTATTTATTTCGTATATAATATTTGATGGCACATTCGCTCATTGCATTTAACAATATACATGTATATATGTAATATCAATATGTCCTTATATCAAGTATTTAAATAATAATTTTGTAATCTCAATTGTTACAAAACTAACCAATCAGATTAGGATGCAAAGATATATTGTGTGACATTTGATGATGCGCAGTTTGATAACGTGTACAAATAAATAAAATTTGCTCGAACATCCTTTCGCCACTGGACTAAATAAACTAATTAAAGGTTCTTGCGATTATGTATCTTCTTATTTATCTTACATTGTTATACCAAAATCGGATAAAAAATATTTAAGCATATTCAAGCAAAAAAAAAGATTAGCTCTTTAAAAAAAAACCTTCTTACGACACATTTTTACCGATCGGAATTTGACATAACGTCAGACATGTCCGAATAATAGATACCATCAGCCAATCAAATTTCATGCTCTGATGATAAAATTTTTTTTTTAAAAAAAAAAAAAAAAAAAAAATGAATTTTTCAATACTTCGAACAAAACGAACGTATGTAGCATAGATATTAACGAAGTTTCTTTTTGGTAAATTATTCTCTTTTAACATCATTTCATTTCAAGATTACATTGCTTAAAAACGTTAACAGTTAACTCGAAAAAGGTGAGAATAGAAAGTTTTTTTTTTGGTAATTTCAGAATGGTTTTCTAAAACTTTATTTTTTAAAAAAAAGTTTTCAACAAAAGTGAATAGCAATAGGTCGATATTAAACGTATACGGAAAGCATGGCTTATTTACTCAAAAAATACAAAGACCTTCAGAGTCTTCAAATTTTCATAAAATAAATTTATTTCAATCGTTTACAATTAATCAAATGTGTCGAAGTATTACAACGCAAAATAATGATGATTCCAATAGAATTATCGAAACATCACCACCATTCTCACAAGGAGTTGTCACCGAAAGTATTGATTCGGCATCCGATTTTACGGACATAATTGAGCAACCTTCATCAGATGCTATAATGGAAACCGCGTTGAAAATGGGAGATTTTAAAGAAATGGGACTAGTTAATTTTACACCTGTTGGATTCGTGGAAGGATTCTTTGAAATGTTACATGTCTCAACGGGATTACCTTGGTGGGGTACAATTGCATTAGCAACATTAATTTTACGTTTAGGATTTTTTCCGATATTAATAAGTCATCAAAGAAATGTTTCTAAATTAGTGGAAATACAACCACAAATTGAAAAATTAATGGAAAAAATTAGTGAAGCAAGGGAGAGTCGTGATCAATATACACTTTTGAAGAGAACCGAAGAATTGAAACAATTATATTCCAGTGTTGGAACAAGTCCATTAACACCCTTATTATTCCCATTAATGCAAATGCCTTTTTTTGTAAGTTTTTTTATGGCTTTGAGAAAGATGGCCGCAGTAAGTGTACCCGGTTTTGATCATGGAGGTATTTTATGGTTCAAAGATTTAACTGCTCCGGATCCAAACTTGGCTTTGCCTTTTCTTGTTAGTGCAGGATTTATCCTAATGTTAGAGGTAAAACCTTTTCCTCGTATCATATACATATATTTGAGTTTATTTCAAACTTAATTGTCTACGTAGTTGGGGACTGACAGTGGGCCCGTAAAAGCATCTCAAGGAAAGGGCATAAAATGGTTCTTCCGCGGCGTCAGCGTATTATCGATTCCTTTCACTATGACATTACCTTCTGTACGTATCGAATTTGAATTCCTTGACAAAAAATTTTTTTATTAACAAAACAATTTATTAAGTTTTTTATCGTCCTAATTTGCAGTCAGTACTTGTTTATTTTCTTTGTGCAAATACTTTAGCCTTTGCACAAAGTGCACTATTAAAAAATAAAGGAGTTCGAAAGTATTTTAGACTACCAATTAATAAACCTAGAATAACAGAAGTAAAAACCAAATCATTTATGGAACAATGGAAAGAATTGAATGCCAAACAACAGCAAACTTCGACTAAGACGACTGCATCCAAAATTAAAAAATTGAAAACAAAGTGATGATTAAAAATTTGATTGATGTCAATATGTAAGTGAAAGTTTTATGTTATTTTAATATTATCTGTCGCCCTAGTGTTGCTCTATATCATAAGATATAATAAATGGATATTAGAGTGTCAAAATAGAGCGTACATCAAAAATCAATGAACATGAACTTTCATCGATACTTTCTTATTTAGTTTTCGTAAAGTTGATTTTCATACATCTTGTATTTTTATTTAATTTTAAATTTATTCATGTTATTTATGTCACTTTATAGGAATGGAATAAATTTTTTACAATTATTTAAAAGGTTTACGCGTCATTAACTAAAAATAATAATAAAACAGCTTTTTACTAAATAACATCAATCGTTTTCAACGCAACTTCTAAAGTAATCATAGTAAGTATACAAATATACGCTATTATGAAGTAATACCAAATAGTGAATGAATCCAACCCATATTCAACTCTCCAGAATCTTTCAGCGTATTTATTTTGAATTATTAACATTAGAATTAAGATAAAATAAAGTAAATGTAGAGCGGCTTTAGAAAACCAACATAGTTCCAAAAGAAAAAGCTGTGCGATAGAAAGGAATGTTGGTCCGAAATTTAAATCTACGGTATAGTGATCTTGGTGGATCAAATTCAAAGAGAAATGCAAATTAGATTATAATAAAAAAATGTTTAAATAACCGAATAAATTTTATCACCTTCTTCCCAATATTCATCACTCAAAAAATGCGAAAGATAATAAAAGATCAAAAGAGTAAAAAATACTGGCGAATAAAATAGAAAAACTGATGAATACAATAATCCATCCATAATAATTATACAACGAAAATTATGTCGTATTCGAGACTTTATATCTTTAGAATATACATATCATTAAATTTTAGTGTCTTGGTTTTTGCAACAAAGTAAAGGAAGAAAATATATATATTCACGCGTTTTTTTTTCTCGAGTTACTTTATTATAAATTTCAAGGACTTGGACGCGTTTTTTTTAGGTAATAAGTTAAATAATGATTATAAAAAATATGAAAATCACGTCATTTAAGAATGTGATTTTGATAAGAAAAAAAAATTTCGTTTCTGAATTGTTATCGATCTTTTCATATTTATTACTTTATGATCATAGAATCGAACGATAATATTTATGACTAACAAACAGATTTTAATACAACTAACTTTTTTTTTTTGTCTTTTCCATAAAACACCACTAAAGATTTTTTTTAATTTGGATTGACTCAATCATTGTGTGTCACTCCTTAGTTACGATTCGAAAAATTGTTATATATATATTTTTTTTTCAATGTCTGTCGGAGATTGAGTTGAGTATGAATGTATTAAATTTATTATTAAGTAAGGTTGATAAAATGATAAATATTCTAAAAGTTCTCCAATTTCTTTTTCTTCATTGTCGTATTTCTTTCTTTAACTCACTCTGTAATAAAAATAATGAACCGACAAAAACAAAACATAAGAAGATTGACAGCCGCATTCCGAGATCATTCAAAAAAATTCTTTCGTACAAGTGGAGCTAGACATGTTGAAAATATTGAAAATGAAGTAGATATATCATTGCTTTAATATGAAAATTGAAATATATAGTAACTTTATTTATATTCTTTATAGGACCGTTATCTACCCGTGAGGCATATTCAGGAACTTGAAAGGATCGGATATACTCGTGAGCAAGGGGAGATTTTAATCAAAAGCATTGTAGAAAGGTTTGTGCAATAATTACCATTTCCATTACTTATTATTTAAATTTTTTTACTAATGTTGTTTCCTTCACAGTACTAAAAATTTAGCAACTAAAGTGGAACTTAACGATCTCACGAATAAGGTCATTGAAATCAATGGGAAAATCCAAAATTGCAATGGGGAAATCCAAAAGTGCAATGGGGAAATCCAAAAGTCCAAAGGGGAAGTCATTAAGGAATTCTATAAGTACAAAGAGGAAGTCACTCAGAAAAATCATAATGTCTATAAAGAAATTCTTAAGGAAATCGCAAAGTCCAGTTTGGAAGCAATAAAGACCAGAGAGGAAATTCATAAGGAAATCGCAAAGTCCAGAGAGGAAGCAATGAAGTCCAGAGAGGAAATTCATAAGGAAACAATAAAGACCAGAGAGGAAGTAAACAAGCAAGTTGAAGTTCAAAAATACCAGATCCTCATTCGTGAGTATTATTATTTTGGATTTGGATTTTGTAATTCTTTTTTTTTGCGTCATTAATAAAGAGTTTATTATTAGGTGCGTATGTCGGAACTACCGGAAGTCTTGTTAGTCTCGCTGGCCTTTGTTTAGGTAAGTCTTACTTTTTTTCTTATACCAAAAAAAAATACTATAGATACTTAACAATTTATATTTATTATATAGCATATTTAAAGTTATTCAACTAAGTTAATACAAACAAGGCCGGATCTCTCCCCCTTTAACAAGGTTAACAAAGTTTATATTATTGTATAACGCGTCAAAATATATAGTGTATAAAACAAGAAGTTACTTATAATTTGCATTGTACTATGTTAGAATAAAAATATCTTTAATTTTTCTGATTGCTCAATATTTTTTTGTTTCTTTTTTTGTTTTTTTTTTTCAGATAATTTTCACCCATTTTCTTTTAATTGATTTTACCTAAATCCGTATGTGCATCACTTTTAACACGAACCATTTGATTCAGATTATGATGAAATCATAAGGAATGAAGTAGATTTTGCATTCTTTAATAGAGTAAATATTAATTCAAGTTTAGTTATACTTTTTTCAATTTCTTTAGAGAATTTGAATGATATAATGAGATTTTTTTTTATAAAGATGGATAAATTATAAAATACTATAATATCTGAATGTTGAATTTTGAATTTAATAAGAATAAAAGTTAATAATTTAATTTACTAAAATTAAATTTATTACTTGCATTTTATTTATAAATCCTATAATAGATATCTTTTTAAGATTATTTTAAAAATCTAATTAAATTAGTAATACCAGCCTAAACTCTTTTTTAAAAAATTGTAGTTTAGTCAAAAGGTTTCATTTCTTTAATATTTTTATATGAATAAATATAAAATTATTATATTATTTTAATTCAAGGAATTTAGATCAAGTTAAATATAAATTTAGCAATTAAGTAAAATAATTTCATCATTAATAAAAAACTAGTTTTGTCATTTTGGTTTCATCTATTTTATCATTAAGAAAGGTAATTTCATCAGGTATCACTAAATTAAGTATATCAAGAATTCAGAAAAAATTTATATTTATTTGTAGATTATGGTTTTTGTTATTTTATATTTATTTATAATTTCATTTCATTTTATATTAGTAATAAAAAAAAGTAAACCAAAATTTTAAGAATTATTTAACTTAATTCACTTCTAATCAAATTTCTTTATATTAAAATAACCAATATTTATCAGTTTATTTACTTTTAATTAAGCCAAAGAAATTATTAGTAATTTTATAATTTAAGAAGAATTTTTATTAATGTTTAAAAAAATATAAAAAAAAAAAATGATTAAAAGAGATTCAAAATCTTTTTAATTTTCTTAATCCTAAAAGAATAAATATATATCTATTAAAAAAATATATATATTAGATTTATTATTTATTAATCAAATATTATTATATTATATGACAAAAAATTTGTAACATTATTAAAAATTTATATTGCTAGTTCTGAAATTATACTAATACTTTTAAAAGTAAATATTTATAAGTAATTATAAAACTTAATTCTAAAATTTTTAGATCTCTATATTTTAAAAAATATATCAAATTAGCTAAAATTCTACTTTAATTTATTCATATAAATCTTAAAAAAACTTATACTAAAATTTTTTGAATTTGCTTTAAATATATTATGTATATTTCAGAAGTATCTAAGAAAAATTCTTTGATATAAGATATCATGCTTTATATAATTATATTAAATCGTAATATTCTACTTAAACTGAATTATATTACTATATTATAATCTAAATACCACATTATAATCTGAATATTACAATATAATCTAAATAGCATGTTATAATTTAGTAGCCATGATTAGGAATGCAGACTTCTAATTTATTATTGTTACACTAAAATCATTAGGATGATCTTTCTAATGTAGATCCTTAGAAAACTATGTTAACTTTGTTAACTTCGTTTACGTCGTCTAGCTCGTTTACATAGTTTATT